TATTTTAATCACGACACTCTCAAACTGGGCAGCAATGTCGACATCACGAAACTCAGAGACGCTTGGGACACCGTCTTTCAACAATCTCCAATTCTTCGAACCTCGTTGATGGAGATAGATGACCCAACTTTGGACTTCTCTTTTGCTCAGATCGCCTCACGATCTCCCGCGTTGCCTTGGGATGAGACTGAACTTGGGAACGAAAACCAAATAACGCAGCTCATCAATGACATCAGGAAAACAGCTGCGCGCTCGAAGTCTCCTACGAATCTTTTTCGGATCCATTTCGTGAAGTGCCCAGGGGCCTCTTACCTCGTGTTATCTCTCGCGCACGCATTATACGATGGATGGTCGCTCACCCTCTTGCATGAAGACGTTCGAAGGGCGTACTATGGCCAATACAAATCTCGACCCTCATATCGCAAGGTTCTAGAACAAACTTTGAACGCGTCGGGTCCAGAGGCGAATGGTTTTTGGCAAAGCTACCTCTCCGGCGCTGAATCGGTAACGTTCCCTCGAAAGGGGCCCTCGGAAAGTCAACCAGACCAGCAGCACCGACTAGAACGCACGAGCAAGATTCCACTTTCTCAGTTGATCTCCTTCAGCAAGAAATATGGGATCACTCTCCAGACAATCGGACAAGCCGTCTGGTCGTTAGTCCTTGCCTCATACCTACACACACTCGAAGTCGTTTTCGGCTCCATCTTATCCGGAAGGGATAGTGAGCTAACGACGGATGTGCTGTTCCCAACGATGAATACCGTCGCCGTTCGTGTGTTTCTCCACGGAACTCGACTTGAGCTGCTTCGGGATGTGCAACACAACTTTGCGAGTATTCGACAATACCAACATTTTCCGTTACGTATCGCTCAAAGATTCGCTGCTTCGCCAGGGAAAGCTCTTTTGGACACTCTCTTTGTTTACCAAAAGAGCCCTGAAGCCACCCTAGACACACAGAAGCCGCTGTATGAGTCCATTGGTGGGTTGTCTGATGTCGAATATCCGGTGTGTACCGAGATGGAGATCGTGGGGAATGATCTGATTTGGCGCTGCGCTACGCACAACTCAGCTCTTGACGATGAAGGTGCTGCGGAGTTGCTAGACCGGCTCGATCTGGTATTGAGGAATGTTATGGAACATCCTAACCAGCCAGTTATCGACATTACGAGTAACGAGACTAGCATCTGCGGGTTAGCACCGTACAAAACCCAAGACACATCGGCCCTCATGCCTGATCATGCCGAAGACGAAGAACCATCAAACACCACGTCTTCCGCATGGTCTGCTACCGAGTTGACTATTCGCGAAGTGCTCTCAGCCGTGTCGAATATACCCGAAGACGAGGTGTCGAAATCCATAACCATGTTCCATCTCGGTCTCGATTCAATCAGTGCCATTAAAGTGTCTTCTCTTCTTCGGAAACGATCGGTCAATCTGAGTGTAGGCGACATGCTTCGGGCAGCCACAGTGGAGAAAATGGCAAAGTTAGCCGATCAAAGGAAGCCAGATGCACCATTTTCCACCTCCGACACGGATGCTTTAATCTCTGCGGCCCTAGAACATCAAAACGTACCTGCAGTACTCTCTCGAGCTGGCCTCTCCACCGATAGCTTCGAAAATATCCTTCCTGCTTCGGCTGGCCAGGTTTACATGCTTTGTAACTGGACGAACACCCGCGGCACGCTGTTTTATCCGGGCTTTCAATATCGCGCCTTGGAATCTCTTACCGTAGCAATTCTGCATCGAGCATGGGACGAATTGGTCGCTCGAAATCCACTGCTCCGGACCTCCTTCTTCGCCACACGAGATGTAGAGACTCCATTTCTACAGGGCGTCCTCCGAAACGCAACTTCTTCATTCCACGACATCTCCGACATTGAAGAAGCCAAAAGATCTCGCTACATTGAAGAGAACAGCACTTGCCAACCTTACGTTTTCCTCTTCGCTCAGCGGTCTGCGAATCACTGGCTTCTAACTCTCAAAATCCACCATGCTCTGTACGACGGCGTGAGCCTACCGATATTGATACACCAGCTTCAAGACCTCTGCAATGGCTCTGTAGCGCAGGCCCACCAGAATTATGCATTCAAACGAGCACTGGCTATCAACTCTACCGAGGACGCTCGCAAAAAACGTCGATCCTTTTGGACTTCGTATCTGGAAGGCGCCTCACTTAGACATCTCGCGCAACCTAGTAACGCGGCCTCGTCTCGGGTAGAAGTCTTCAAGCCCCGCCTGATCGAGAATGTCGGAAGCTTAGAGAGCCTGTCCAGGCAAGGTGGACTCAGCATCCAATCGCTTTTCTTGGCGGCATATGGCAAGATGTATTCCGCGCTGCTCCCTGGTACTCTGGACCCCAAGGACGAAGACCTTGTAATCGGGCTGTATCTCGCGAATCGCTCTCATGCAATTGAAGGCCTCCCCGATGGCGCCGCGCCGACAGTGAATTTGGTCCCTCTGCGGATCAAGACGCCGCAATTAACAAGCCTTTCAGACTCTGCCTTGCAGATACAGCATGATATACGGGAGATTGGCACCTTAGAGAACTCGGCGGTGGGGCTGTGGGAGATCTCGAAGTGGACTGGAGTTAGGATTGATACCTTTGTGAATTTTCTAAAGCTGCCTGCCGCGGACACCGAAGCTGCCAAACAACCTCTGGAAATTCAAGAAGCCAATGGAGGGGAGGAAGCGTGGAGTAGAACGGTGGACCACGCGGAGAAGGTGGAAGGCTTCGTTCTTGCGAAGGAGCTTCTAGACAACGTGGTCAGGGAATCGTATTTGGTGAGTCTTGGATCTGCGCGAGAATACATCCATATGCTAACATTAGATTTCTAGCACACAATTGACGTGGAAGCCACTATCAGAAATGGCGCTTTGGATGTGGGCGTGTTTTGTCCGGTAGAGCTGTTGGGTATGGAGGGCGCAGGGAAAGTGATTGAAGATCTAAAGAGAGAGCTCATGAGTTTGCTTTCGTAGATTCTTTCGTGGCGTTTGTATGTGGATAGACCATGCTTGTAATAGAGCGAGCGCTTGTTGTTTTTTGTAGATTTCCTAGATCGCCTTGACTTGTTCCGTTAGTAGAAACTTTTCCTTCGCCGACGATATGCTCGGATAGTAGTATAAGACCCTGTATTTGTGACCTTGACCTGTGTAAATGCTCATCTCAACGCACCCCGCAGTCCTCATGTTCCGTCGTTTTGCCCTGAACGAGTCGCTCGCCGATAACTTCGCTCTTCATCATCGCCTAAGCCTTCAATCGCGTCCCTTGTAAATCCTCGTGCGCGTCCTTGAGTAGAAAGCTAAAGCATGTCAGACTTTTGCCATGTACTCTGAAGAAGTATTTACTTACTTGTACCACCATATCGTAGGGCCAACAGTCCCTAGATGCCACAGACTATGCGCATCGACCATGCCCCACCAAGGTGGAAAGTCCAACAACTCCAAACTCATCGCCATAATTATCCACGCGACGATCAGACCCGGCCACATCGCCCAAGTCCTATTCAACTTCTTGTACTGATTGTAACTGAACCAACTCCACATCAAGTTCTGCACGATTCCCACGGCCACATTCGCCGCCATATTGTACGTGTAGTCCCAGCTCCAGAGCGAGAGATATAAGACATGCGCGGAGTAAAGCGAGAGACACAGCAGCGTCCACGCCCTCAACACGCTCTGTTTAACGGGGTCACGCTTATCCAGGCGGAAGATGCGGATAGGCGCGTAGTACAGCCCATACATAACGCTAGCGCCCGCACCGAAGTAGTCCATCTTCTCCGTGAACGCAAAATCGCGTGTGTGGAAAAGCATGCTGAAGGTCCAGCTCGCCAGCCCGAAGTATCCGAACAGCAGGTAGTATTTACGCAGGGCGTAGGAGGCGGGCACTTCGCTCCGGAGCCGCGAAATGCCGTAATCGTGGGCGAGGTAGTTGAAGAGGGAGAAGATGACGCTGAAGGGTTCCTGCATGCCTAGGAAGCGGTAGAAGGGCCATTTACCGTGGAATTGGTAGATCGGCTGCATGTAGGGTGGGTCGCGCGCGAGCCGTGTGTCGGTCACGACGTGCTGGCATGTGTAGTCGCATTCGGACGGGCAGTCCCAGAGGAGGAGCCGGTGGTGGAGAGCTAGGAGGTTGTCGTATCAGCGCCAAATCGATCACTATGATACAGCAGCTGGAAACTCACATATAGGCGTCGGGTTATCTCCGCAGTTGGCTTCTTTGCAGACCTGTAGAACCAAGGTGAGCGCGTGCTATGCTTGGTGGATGTTGATGTCTCACCTTCACACATTCTTTGAATTCCGGCAGCCTGTCACCGAGAGAGGCTTGAGAGAGGCCAACAAATGAACACGCGGCGGTGAGAGCAATTAAATGCCATCTTTGGTGCGATCGTAGCCTCATCTTCGTGGCTAGAGTATCTCCATGAAGCTGGGGGATGGTGTGTTGTTTCAGGGCCCTGAGTCTCTCCCGCTTCCGCTCCGCAATTTCTTGGCACTCCCCAAAATGGGCACCTCAGATATAAGTTTCCGGTCGCAAGGGGTTTGTTGGTACTCAACTTTGCTGATTTTGTTTGACGGCCTGTAGTTGTTTTTTCGATCGTTCATGTTGAGATTTCGTCGGTTGCGAATAGTTCTGGCCTTGTCTTGTACCACCCAGCGGTCACTGATAGAAAGTTTTCATTCGCGAGCCTCAAAGAGCTCGGCTTCTGTGATCTTAGTGCTCCTTGAGATGGTCCTCAATAAGAAATTGCTGTGACTTGACCCTGGATTCCCCGTAATGCCTGATGTACTACGGTGATGGCTCGTGCCCCGCTGAATTGCACTAATAATCAAAAAGAATATTACCAAACCGCCCCAAACGCAAAGCTGATGTTCTGGTATGATCTCTTAACGTAGAAATGCCAAATATACGCAAAAAAATTGGTGTTCCTCTCGCAAACCGAGCCGCGGTGGTTCACTGACGCTGGAGACCCTCCCAACCCACCACCAAAAAATCAATCCTACTCTGGAGATATGGGGGATCGAACCCCAGACCTCCCGCAAGCTATATGCAAAGCGGGCGCTCTACCACTGAGCCTTGGCGCTTACGTCAGCTATTATATATGAAGATAGGCCACGGAGCCACTTACTATATCCCCGAATTTCGATGGTTGCAAAAATTATTCAATATATATACCGTAAAAAAAGAACAGATCAAAACTCTGGGGTGGCGGTGAAAGCTCTCCTACACGTCATTGGCTATAGATCATTGAAACCGCCGCAGAAATTGCTTACAGGTATAGTATAGGTTCCATGGGACCCACTCTCCAATGCGGGGTCTACAACGCCTTTTACAGCTTCCAACCCCACAAGGTAGGATACATAATCCGAAAAATCTAGTGCATTCTCTTTGAATGTACGCACATAACTCTACTCCATTAGAGCAGAATTGCTAAATGCTGTGGCATATGAAAATTCATGTTGGTTGCGGTTCGGACTACTAAGCGAATGTCCCCCAACACCTCCCCGCTCCATCCCACGCCTCCGAACCGCCAGTTTCCCTCACCATAAGCACCCGATCATAAGGCAATAGGCCTTTCAAAAAGGCCGCGCTATTATGATTTCTGCTCGAATAGGACAAATCAATCACTGATTCGCTCACATTGTCCTTATCAACTCGCCCGCCCCCTTTTGCAATTAACTAGGATGTGCCGCCCAGCTGCAACATTTTTATATTCATCGTCTTCACCGGATACGAAGCTGACGGCCTCTACTCATCTAACAACCATGGTGATATTGGCCTTAGTATGACTTGCCCACGCAGCTACCATAAGCTTCAATTTGAGGGTTCCAAATTGCTTTTTTGCACATATTTTGCTGCCCGCGAAAGCCTCCTAGGCTTAAAGTGTTCTCAAAGCGGCGATGTCGTTGTGTACACTCTATAGATGAACCATGAGGACTTGACCTAGTTTTGAGCTTTGGAGAGCCTCCTGGCCGTTTGACCTAGAGATTGTGAGGGATATAGTTCGTCCGGCGCTCTAAGCTAGCCGCGTGGCGTTCGAATCAAGTTTACACCTTCAAGAGCCTCCTGGACGTATTGATATTGAAAAGCGAGTAATGTAAGTCTTTGCAAGTTTCAAATTTGCATCACAGAACTCGTTATTGTTTACGGTTTTTAGGGCCTCCCGGACGTATTAGAACTAACTTTACGGAGGAATAATGTACAAGTTCCGCGTTTTAATATAGGACTTAGAAGCTGGTAGCTGCTCATAAAAGGTATAATCTTGTTAAGATCATGTAAATAACTTAGGAGTCAGGACTCGGAAATTGGTAGCTTCTTCATGCCCTTGAGAGGCTCCTGGGCGCATATCCTTCAATGGGCGAGCAACGAAATTGCGATCAAGGTGCAAGCAGACGATTTCTTACAGAATAGCGATACGAAAGGCCCGGCCTAGTCTGATATATTGCTGAGGCGTCCCTAGCAGCGTCTTTTTGCGGCATCTTCATTGCAGCTGTGCAAACTCTACGGAGGCGTCAATCTGTGGGCTCAGCGCAGTGGTATTCAGCTTATATACTACTAGAGAACATGCTAACATTCTGCAATAGGTTCGTGATTCATAGCCATTCTCGCATTGTGATCTAGGCTGCTCCTTGAGCTGTTTCATTCACTCCTATTTGGCAAAGTTTGAAGTCCTCCAGGAGGATATGTGCCTGGAAAGTCATATCGAGATTCCAGCCAACACCGTAGCAAGCCAAACTTCGACGTTCTAGGTATAGGCACCGAAATTGAGATTCGTAATTGTCAATGCCTTTGTACTCTCAGCCCGCATTTCCTTGCTCCATACCTGCTATAAGCGGCCAAAGCTTTTATCAACACAGGTCTATACAGGATCATGACACAGAATCGTACACACCTCGAGATCAGAGTCATTTTAATCATGGTTTCATTAGTCTGAGTACAACTGCATTCATAATCAAGGTTATCCATTTCTCTCATCCTAGTCTTTAAAAATAGTCTTCCATAACAGAGCCGACGCATGATGTAAGATTACTACATGCAAGATCTAGGCCGAATGTTCAAAATGCTCATAAATACGATGCGCCTTAATGCCCAAACTGAACTGGGGCCACCCTAAAGGAGTTCTAAAGTCTTTCAAGACGATACTCCACTTTGCAAATGCTCGCAAAAGAAAGAAAATCTGAAATCTACGCAATCTCGTACTTGCGCCTGAACATGCCGTCAACGTCAGTGAGGTAGTATGTACCAGGGAACAGGGTATCAGTGGCGCCCTTGGGCTTGTAGTCTTTTTGAAGGTGGGCCTTGCCGCGGAGGTTGCACATCTGTGGGTGGTGTTAGTCATGTGATGCTGGGAACAATAGTAAGAGTTTCAAAGAAAGAGAGCTTACCTCATCGTACACCTCCGGAGCGACAACACGTCGCGAGTCCAGGCGGCTCTGGATGTCAAGCGCCTTCGAGATTTCCTCTGTAGAGCCATTGACCTTGAATGAAAACAAGGAGCTGGCAAGACCGCTGCCGTAGCTGAACATGCCAATGCGCTTGCCCTGGATGTCCTCGCTGCTGACATTGCTGATCAGGCTGCACAAGCTGCCGTACACGCTACCGCAGTACATGTTGCCGCACTGAGTGGGGACCTGGATGCTGGGCTGGACGCGGGCGGCGTACTTCTTCTTTGCGAGACCCATAAAGACCTTCTCGACGGCCTTGTCAGTCACAGAGGCTGCGTAATCGAGACCAGACAGCTCCTTGGGAACCTCGGCGAAGATGGGGTCGGAGGGGTTGGTGAGATAGTCGTTGTACAACAGACGCGCGTAAGACTTATTCACCAGCTTGCAGTTTGGCGCATGGAAGCACATGTAGTCGAAACGATCGAGAGGAGTACCGGCTGCGGAGTCACCGTTCGCATGACCGTTGGCTTGGCCCTTGACAACTGCTTCGCGGGCGTTGTACGCCTTGTAGCATGCGTCAACAGCCTCGATGTAGCAGCGGATGGAGAATTGCCCATCAACAATGGGGTACTCGCTCGTGAAGTCGGGCTTGTAGAAGTCGTAGACGTGGGTAATGTAGCTGCCACGGATGCCAGCATCCACTACAATGGGGGCGTCTGGGCCAACGAGCATAGCCACACAGCCAGCACCGCCAGTCGGGCGAGCATTGCCCTTCTTATACAGCGCAATGTCGCCAGTAACGACAATTGCGTTCCGGCCGTCCCAAGCAGACGACTCGAGCCAGTTCACAGTGTTGAAGAGGGCGTTGGTGCCGCCGTAGCAGGCATTCACGGTGTCCACACCCTCGACGTTGAAGTTTCCAGATTCCTCGAAAAGCTGCATCAACACCGACTTGACGGATTTTGACTTGTCGAGCAGGGTCTCGGTGCCGACCTCGAGGCGGCCAATGGTCTTCAGGTCGATATTGTACTTCTTTATGAGAGAAGAGAGCGCGGTGAGGGCTAGCGAGTAGATGTCTGTGCAGAAGAGGCCCGTTAGCACGCATTCTCCCCACTGCGGCCCTGGCTCGCAGCGAACACTGGGTAGGAGCTCTCACCTTCCCGGTCGTCGCAGAAGCTCATCTTCGTCTGGCCCAGGCCAATGGTGTACTTTCCGGTGCTAACGCCATCGAACTTCTCGAGCTCGGCTTGGTCGACGCACTGCAACCGCGGTTAGAGTCGTCGTTGCCAGAGGGGCGCAGCACTCGTGCTCGTGCGTCTAGGAGGGGCAGGGGACGGCACACGTACCTGGCTGGGAAAGTAGAGCTCGAGGGCCTTGATGCCGATGTTGGAGGGTCGCGCGGCCATGGTGGAAGTGCTTGGAGGCAGAGAGTTCGTGAGAGAGACGGGTGTGGAGGAGGTGAGGGCGCTGGTTCACCGCTGGTTTTGTAGGGAGAACAATAGCGTGATAGACAATGGGGTTAAGTTGCGGTCTGGGCGGCGGCGGCGATCGGACAGAAAGTTTGGCGAGACGTGAACTAGATTGGGTGCAACGGTGAGCAGTGAGAGCTAATTGATGAGCGGAAGGGAGGTCGCTGGGCGTGTGTTATGAAGGACCTGAGTTCTCGGAGTCCGCAGGCTGCTCTTATAGTGTCAGACTCCGTGGTGGGCAGCTACTGTATCGCGTCCGGACCCTCAACAAATCGACTCGCCGTGGTGGGATTGACGCTCGAGCCGTCGGCCATCGTCGAAAAATCCAACGCCTGCAGGGGCCCTTTGAAGCCCGTTCCCCGCAACGGTCAAGCGCCAGGAACGATTGGTGAATGCAGCCGACAATCGCCCACGGCACTGCCCTGCAGCATGCGCAACTGATGTGATTTGGACTGCATGTCACACTCGAGCAGGTGGAGTCGCACTCGTGGCACAGTGGCCTTTTCTCACTCCAAATCAACCCGGATATCGGGCCAAGGCTGCTCGTCGCAAGAAAAGCACCACCAAACGGTGCTCTCGGACCATGTCGTCACCTGCATGCTCCTCGCCAACCACAGCCTGACGGACCTGCAGTCGCGCTGCTCCACTGGACGAACCCTCGAGCCGCGGGAATGCTTCAGACGTTCCGACCTGGTACCCATTCACCCCGCTGATTAACATGTCTAGAGTCCGACGGACTTTTGATACACTAGTTTGCTTCACGCTTTGGCCGTATCTCTGTGCTTTTATGATGTGAAAAGAAGCAGTCACGTTTAGTTTGTCTCTTGAGTGGGATATTTGATGTGGGATGTGAGCCTATTCCCTCAAGTCTGGTCAAGCTGAAACAGATCCCCCGGTGGCGTCCAGAGCTGAGGTTCTGCGGATGATGTTTTTGTTGACTGTTCGTCTGATATCAGGACTGCTCGTTATAAGATCTCGGGCCCTCGTAGTTTCACAACTAGTCAATCAATCCTTCATCATGCACTTCATCACAATCACAGCCATTCTCACTGGTCTTTTACCACAACCTAGACTTGTATTCACCACTAGATACATCGTTTCAGAGCATTTTTAGGGAGATATCAGTTTGTATGACATTGTCCCTTCTGACGATTGTCTAGCTGGCACCACGCCTCGAACAATAGTTTGAAACCGAGCTTGATATCGACTGCATGAGTCTACGTATATTCT